AACGCAGACGATTTTTTAAGTAGGCCGGGCATGCTGTCAACTTGTTGAAACGATGGGACCTCGCATTGAGTCTTTCTGAGATTGCACCTAAGAGCATCGATATGGACCCGCCTGCCCCGGTCGCGCGGTATTTAGGCTGCGGGCATGGACTCGGGAAGATGGATTGACTGGCGCGGCGATGATCTTGCGGCGCTGGACATTCCGCCTCCCAAGGCTAAGAAGGCAGAGGACGCGGCAGCCGCGAATTCCAGTTTCTATGATCCCGTTTCGGCAAAGGCTGCAGGGGCGACCCTGGTGCATACTGACCGATCTTACCCTGTTCCGCCTGGACAAAGCGCATGGGGGCGACGCGATGCCAACGCGAAACACTTCAGGCCATCATTGCCGTCGGGACCAGATCGGAGGTCAGTAGCGCGGCGGGTTACGATCGATTACGACACCTGGGAAGTTTTAGAGGACCTAACAAATCTTCAGGGCGTCAACCGGGACAGGATCTGTGCTGACATTCCCGGGGGTACTGTGTATCCCAGGGGAATAGCAAAGCTGCTGTGTTACCGCTCCGCCGGCGACGATGTTAGCTGTCTGGGGGGGGGGGGGGGGCGCGCGATCGGCTGCCCGGTATCGACGCGCTAAGCAGGGCCCGAGGACAGATGATCTCATGCCGGACCGGCTGAAATGACGGAAGACCATGTCAGTGATACCGAAGATAAAGAATCCAGGGAGCCCCGCGTACCGGGGTCGAAAAGAAGATGCAGGTTCTGGAGCATGAAAACAAAGAGTTCTTCAGGTCGCGCGTTAAGCTTTACGCGGAGCTGACGGACACAGATCCCGAGACATCCGCTGGCTGGTACTCCTTGCGGCCCTGAGTTGACTAGCTTGGAGGACGGGCAGGGTGGTCCCCGTGGAGAGGGGTTCATCTGGCCGGGTATGCCATAGCGGAATGTTTGGTGGTCGACGCTAAATTGGGTCCGGAGGAGAAAGTACCGGCGGTGGGTGGACGACCAATGGTCGACGACAGGTCTTCGAATTTTCGACTTCTTGCCCCATCGGGGGCGCTGCGGCCGATAGCCGCGAAGGTACTTATGGAGATTCTCTATGGCGCGAGAATGGCCAGATACGACTTGCTTAGGGCAACGTGCACTCTGGCATTGCGTTACCAGATGGACCGAACAGCAAGACATATAACTCTTCCGTCTCGCATGCTATATCAAGGCGACTCTACGCTACCCCGACACAGCGGCTCTACAGAGCTGCAAGTCAAGGAGACAGACTGCCACATCGCACAGTACTCTCGAGGCAGAGATTGCGTCGGCAGATGAAGCGGTTCGAGGGGAACTCCGGCCCGCGCTGCCCCTGTGGGAACCGCTGCTGGAAAGGTCCCCATGAGGCCGAGCTTATGGAGGACAACCAAGCAGTTGTGAAAGTCTGCAATGCCGGAGGATCGTCGAAGCTGATGCATCTGCCGCGGACGAATTGCATTGATGCCGTTGTGGTGGCGGAACAACTTGCGAGAGGTATCATCGACCTGGCTGATTGCCCGACTCAGGATCAAGCCGCGGACGCTGGTTCAAAGAGGTTTGAACGGCCACTTTCGTGGGCCACAGTGATATGCCTTATTCAGGTGGTCGCGCCGACTTCCTGGTCGGCGAGCAGCTGCGAAAGTTACGTGGAATCCCTCTCTGACGGTGAGAGCGCCCTATGTTTGATGCCCGGGGGACCTTTAAGCCGAAACTGCGGTCCAAGTCGCCAGTCGTCAACGGTGGGGACATCGCCGGGAAGAGGGCCGCGAAGAAGCCCAGGCGCTCGAACAAAGTGCGGCCCAAGATTGACGCCGAGCCTCGTGAGCAGACGGATGCTGCGGGAGAATGCGACGGCGTTGCTACTGATGACACTTCCGATGCATTCACGTACCCGAGGGGGCTCTGGTTGGAATTTGGTTGCGGGCGAAATAGCAGATTGGGTGGGCATGAGAACAGCCAGATCAAAAGTGTACAGTGGCACGTTTGACAGAGGAACATGACATGACTAAGGAAGCAGGATTCGCATTTGCCGCATGGAAGATCGATGATTATTGCGGTACTCAAATTGCGCTGTGGGGCTCGAATCCTTGTGCTCTTGTACTGGAGGCCCACCTTGGGAATGCGCGCGCGGAGTTATGTATTATCGAAACGGCGACGAGGAGGCATTCACAATATTTCGGGGTCACAGGACGACGTTTCGGATGTTGATCTGCGCATTTCAGGCTTGCGGAGAAGGTAATACAGCAAACTTGTATCGTATGTGTGGCATGGCCGACGCCTTGTTTTTTTATTGGCGTGGTCCTCAAGCACGTGGATACTTCATAACAAAAACGGCACGAATCGGGTAAAACTTCGCGGGTGCGCTCATGGCCTGACGACTTACGACTACGCAGGGACAAAATATAAAGAAGGTTCCGAGCATCGCGACACATTCTGCCATCGTTGTTGATGGGAGTGTTCGGACACGTGATGGAACGCGCCGGCATGTTGAAGCGCGTGGCAGGGATTGTACTACTGTCGATGGTTACGCGGGCGAGTTTGCCAGAAGTGTACACGAGCTAGTCGCATGTGCCGCCGCTGCCGGGCACGCTGCTGCCGCCTCCATCGCACGGGCCTCTCCTGGCCCGCGCGCGCCAGGTTGCGGCGACGAATCCGTAGACAGCAACCAGCCATGTTGATCAATATTTGATAGAAAGAAGTAGGAACACATATTTTGCAACATGGAAAAATAGAAAGTAGTAGGTTTAAGAAGTTTAAGCAGTTTCAGCGTTGTTTCAAGTAGGAAATAGTTTCCCCAGCGAAGACATAACATTTCAATGCCGATTTTCGGGTTGACCAGGACGCGCGCTGCGAATGTGTCGCGCCGCAATGCATGAGGTTCGCAGGCGCGGGGCCGCGCTGCGCGAAACATGCGCGCGGCGTCGGGGGCCATAATTCAGGGTCGCAGCGCCGGCGTCTTCTGGTAGTCTACAGGGCGCCCCGCGGATTCTATGGCGCGCGGCGCTTTCTGCCGGTTGCGGCTTTTTGATCGGGGCCGAGCAAGTGGCGGGGCCCCGCCCGCCAGGCCAGCGCGCAGTTAACATGGGTGCATATGGGGCCATGCGCGGGGGCGGGGGAATTATTTCGCCGATTTAGAAACCAATTTCGGGGCGCGCCCCAGGCCCGCCGGGGGGCGCGCCGGTCGCGCGCGCCCCCGCCGCCCGCGACCTTCGCCGGGGTGTTCCGTGGCACCGAGATGCAGCGGCGCCGCGGCGCCGGGCGCGGCGCGCGCGCGACGCCACGGAGCCGCAGACTACGGATTCCTCCACCCCGTGGCAAGACAACGCCAATGACTGGCGGTCATCGCGGACGCAGAGCTCGGACAGAGGGTGCGTGGAAGAGAACGAGTGGGGAAAGCGACGATGTCGCTGGACCCCCATCGAGATCAACGATTGCGGCTCAACCGCGTCCGCTTGGAATGGTTGGGTCGCTGTGAGACAAGGGCGCGATGCACCTGCGTCGCGCGCGCGGCGAGCCGGTCTGTGGCCGGACTGCCTGGCGCCGTAGGCTCCGACGCCTTGATGAACAATCTGGGGCGATGCCTAAAACAGGTTCGTCCGCCCGCGCAAGTGGAGCTCGCCAGGCTGGCCGCGACGGGAGTTGTTTTGGACCCCCCCTCGCAGGCCCATTGATGATTCGCAGCGTCGTCGCAGCTGCTGCGAGTTAAGCGCGCGCGTCCGCCCGCCCCTCGGCCGGCCGGCCCCCCGCCCAGCAGTTCGTAGCTCGCTCGGACTTCAACGGACATCCGCACTCGTGACACCATGGCATGGAGGGGCGCATGTCCCACATCACTTTCAACGAAGGTAATCCTGAGCAAGAAGCTTCAACCGTAATATGATGAGGAGTAAGGGTTACGACGCGAATGCCGTCGCACCTTGCCTACCATCATGGCCACTGATAAACCCGTAACAACAAAGAGCTCGGAAACCACGTCATCGGCATCATCCGTATTATGATCATGATGTTCATTTGAATCATCACAACCATCATCAGCATCACCATCGTCATCACCACCACCATCATCATCACCAGCGCCGTCACCGTCATCATCGTCACCACCACCAGCATCACCATCAGAAGCGTCATCAGCATCATCATATTCATCCTCATCATCGCCGTTGTCTTCGTTAACATCACCATCATCATCACCACCACCACTACCACCCTCTACCACCACCACCACCACCACCACCACCACCACCACCACCACCACCACCACCACCACCACCACCACCACCACCACCACCCCTCACACGCTTCGTGACCCCATTGGGAACTCCGCCGAAGGCCCCAATGGCTGCGTCCGCAAGGCGTCGCCACGCCCCGTTCGCAAGGCGTCGCCACGCCCATTTTCGGCACACCTGTCCCCCATAGAAGCTCCGCTGAAGGTCCCAGTGGCTGCGTTCGCATGGCGTTGCCGCGCCCACTTTTGGCACACCCATCACACGCCCCGTGGCCCAGCTCCGTTGAAGTCCCCCGAGGCTGCTTCGCATGGCGTCGCCGCGCCCATTTAGCACACCCCTGAAACGGTTCGCGCCGTTACACAGATCCACCGAGGGCTCCAGAGGTTGGGCTCGCATGACAGTGCTTCCCAATTTTGGCAGCCTAAATCCTTTCGTGGCCCCCCGGGGAGCTCCACCAACTGCGCCGGTGCCAGCGCCCGCGTGGCGGCACTTCCCCATTGTGGCATACCGCTCACACGTTCTTGGGTCCCACAGGGAGCCCCCCTTCCTTCGCCCCACCTGCCTTGCGGTATTCACGCCTGCAGATGGTTGGGTCCCTCGGAAGGATCACGCGTATGGTCCCAGGCCCTGTGTGGGGGGCCCCGACGACTCGAAACACGGCGAATCAGATCCAGAAGCGTCCGCTTCCAGTGCAGCCTCTTCCCTGCTGGCACGGGGACCACGACAGCCGAAAACGCCGGCGGCGCGACGGGGGCAGGAAACCCCCAGAGGCGCCGCGGAACCCGGTCGGAAGCGGCCGGGGGCCCAGCTGGCCCGCGCGCGCGCGCGGGGAGCGCGCCGCCCCCGTGGGCGCATTGTCGGCCAGGCGGCGGGGCCACGTCGCGTTTCCAGGATCGAACGACGTCGCCGCCGCCGATGGTGCCGCCGCCGCCAGCACCGCCGCCACAGCGCCGTCGCCGCCGACAACTCAGAGACGACGACAGGGGCGAACAGCTCAAGGGGAATCAATGGTTCACGTCTTCAGCGAGGCTCCCCAGCGAACGCGTGTGATGCCCGCCCTTGGCTATTCACCCCTGTCGCCGCCGCCGAACAACGCCGTCGTCGTCGCCGCCACCGCCTGGGCGCACGAGGCCCACGTAGCGCTCGAGGATCGAGTTTACAGGCCGAAGTTTGTGGAATGTTTCCCGCTTTGGGTGGCCTGCAATGCATTGAGATGCGGAGTCCTATTGGGGCCGTCTTGGACGTGTTGAGGACCGTGTTGGGCCCTTCTTGGGCCATCTGGTTGCCCTCTTGAGGGCCTCTCGGGCCGTCTTGGGGCGATTTGGGGGGCCTCTGGGGACGGCTTGGACTGCCGGCAGCCCGCTCTCATGAAATTAAAGATTATGATAACATCTTTCCTGATCAATTTTGGCTCGAAGCACGTCGGTTCAAGCCACACTCAGTGGCAGCTGTAATTGGCGCTTTTTGTCTTGTGCGCCGTCTTCGGAGTTCGGCTTCCTGAACGTCTCCATCGGACTTGTGCTTTGCCTCGCTATTGGCGTGCAGATGCACTTCGATAAGATGCCGAGCCTGACCGAACCGTCTCTCGTTGTTATTGGCAAGTTGTCGGTTTGCTTATCGGGACCATTGCGAGTCTGACAGAGGAAAAAGCGCAAGGCTGAGGGGGAGACGCGCAAGGTTAAGAAGGAGAAGCGCAAGGCTGAGGAGGCCTTGCGCCGCACAGTGGGCGAAGCTCGGCACAAAAAGGGCGAAGCGCAAACAGAAGATCAGCACACGAATGAAGAAAAAGAGATGCAGCAGTGGGCTTCCTCAGCTGCGCCCCTCTTGTTGGGATGCGGCTGAAACGGTCCATGTAGCTGCTGAGGTCAAGCCTGTAACTTTCTTTGATGGGCTTGGCACTCTTGGACTCGACATCGCGTTGATTGGATTTGCCAGCGCTGCATCCAATGCGAGCAAGGCTGCTGCGAACTGCATGAAAGCCGCAAGCGATGCGGGCAGGGCCGTTCAAGCAGGCACGAAGGGCGTGCAGTTTGTGAAAGCAGCAAGGGCAGCGCATCGACTCACTGCGGCAGCCACTCATGAACAACATATTGCGGCCATCATCAATTTGACGCGCAATGAACATGATATCGCTGTTGCAGTTGCTGCAGTCGCTGAAGCATTCCATGATGCATGATCAGTTGTCAACTTGAATTCATTAGAGCGGCCGCGCACTTCGAAACACGAGATTCCCAACATAGCCTCGAACAAAACGTGATGTCGGCACCTTGGGGCTCTCCTCGGGGGCCTTCTTGCGTTCTCTTGGGGCTTCTCGGGGGCATCTTGGGCCGTCTGGATGTCACTTCTGACGCTTTGGAGCGATCATTGGGCGACTCGGGACTCTCTTGGACCGTCTTGGGGGCCTCTCGGGGCCCTCTTGTCCCGTTTTGGGGCCCTCTTGCCTCCAGAAACTTCTAGCGGGAACACGCGAGAAGACTCGGGACTCGGGGTTGCGGGCGCCTCGAAGAGTATTGCCATACTCCGTACAGAGAACTCTGAGGGACCTGAGGACATCATATTGCACTTCGTGCCTCGGGGCGCAGTGGCGGATTTGGAATCAGGGCCGAACACGCCTTCGGCAATAACTCCCAAGCGAAACGTGCATTGCGTTTACATTTCGGACCGACCTCTTTGGTTTCGAACGCACGTCGAAGCTTCCATGCATCAGTTTGCGCGAGGGGGTCCTCACAAAACAATACAAGTCTAAGCCAGTGAATTTAGTGTCCAAGCCTACAATACAGTGCAAGCATGCAAGCATCGCAAAACAAGTCTAATTCAGTGTACACGCCCATAGTTGCCCGTCTCCACCGCTGGCGCTGTATTTTTCAGTTCTCAATCACACTATGCCAGGCGCCGCTTCCCTGACAGAGCGACCAGCGGTCGCACCACGCGTGCCCGCATCTCGGAACAATATCATGCGGTGCACATTTGCACAGTCAGACTGGAAGTCTCAGCGCTTCGATGAAAGTGTACTGAACTAGGTTTGGCTACTGAACCCTGGTGCCTGCCACGCGTAATTGTGCAACTACGTGTAACTACGCGTAAACAAGTGTTGCGGAGCGCGCCCTCAAGGTGTGTGTTGCGACGCTCATTGCCGGCCCAGTCTGAACGATCGTCCACCCCTCCAGCAAGGCCCCAGACGAGGACAATGCAAGGCCCCAAACGACGCGGCGCCACACGACGACGATGCTCCGAAGGTTCTCGGCGGCGTCAAGATGACACCCGATTTCTGTTCGGTTGCCGTCGGTGGATTTCGGAGGCACCTGGCTTCGGATGATGAAAAGCCGCTCCAAGGAGCTCTCCGGACGCTCTGGAGCATCGAAGCGCTGGATACATTTTCCGGGTTCCGCGCAGATTCCTTCGTCCCAGTTCGAATATGTAATCATCTTGTTTTCGCCTCGAGGGAGGAAGGAGAAGGCTGTACGCAGTGTGGTCCGTTCGGCCGCGTCGCAGTTGGCTCGGTCGGTTGCTGTGTCGTTGCTGTGCCGCTGTGCCCTTCTGGGTCTCTTCTGGCAGATTCGGTTTCGGCCAGTTTCGAGTTCGCTGTCGGTTTCTGGCCAGCTTCCCGTGGTGCTGTCGGCGTGGAGGGGGACCGCAGGCCCCGCCCCCCCTGCCCCTCGCCACCTCCATCATTTCGCCTCGCCTCCCCCTCGCCTCCCCCCCTCGACCCAGGCGGCCCCACCCCCTTCGCCTCCCCCTGAGGCCTGCCCCGATTCGCTTCGCCGCCCTCCCGCTCCGCTCCGCTCCCCTCCCCCGCCCATCCCGACGCTTCTGTGGTCCCGCCATGCCCACCCCCCCCACATCCATCCACCTCGCCTCCCCGCCAATCCTGAGAGGAAAGGAGTCATGGCTGATTTGGACGGCATCGGAGTATGATACCTCCCCATGTTTTCGGTCCGCATGACGCGTCCTTGGCAGTGGATGTCCCCCCCCCGCCACCCTGTCCGCGGCACCACCCTGGCGCAAGGTCCACGATTACGCAGGCGCCCCCAGCGCGCGCTGCAGGAGGGGGGAAGGGATCAAGGAGCGAGGACTGACGGTCAAGGATCAACGTTTTTCTATTTTTGGGCTTGTTGGATGTTTCTTGGTGGCTTCTCGCTGCCTCGGAGGGGTCCCGTTTTGGAATTTCTTGTGAGATGTAACCTTTGGAGCGATCCCTGTGCCAGTTGTCGTTAGAGGAGGAGAAGAGGGAGGAAGGGAGGTGAGCAGGAAGATGGGGGAGGGTGGGAGAGGGAGGCAGCTTGGGAGTGGCAGGAGATTCTAGAGGATGGAGGCGGGTTTTGGTCGGTTCTAGGGGGTTCTGGAGGCAAGGGGGCGGTGGGAGATGAAGCAGGGCGAGGAGGGGGAGCGACGGGAGTGATGGAGGGGATGGCAAGGAGGACGAGGGGGCAGAGAAGGAGGGGGCGTAGAAGGAGTAGGTAGCGAGGAGAGGGAGGATGGCGATGACGACGACGACGACGATGACGACGACGACGACGACGACGACGAGGAGGACGACGACGAGGAGGAGGAGGAGAGGGGAGGAGGAATGGGGGCAGGCGGATGTCAAGAATGATATACTGGAGTGGAGATGAAAGGATGAGAAAGGCGAACAGGAGGAGGGCGGACAGGCAGGAGGGGGAGCATGTGGCGCGACGCGGCGCGACGATCCTGGCTTATCAGCATCGGGCTGACGGACACATGAGGAGGGACAGCAGCACGATGATGAGGCGGAGGAGGGGGGAGGGAGAGGAGGAGAAGGAGGAGGAGAAGGAGGAGGAGGAGGAGATCGAGCGGGAGGAGGAGAAGAAGGAGGAGGGGGAGGAGGAGAACGAGGTGGACGAGGAGAACGAGGAGAACGAGGAGGGCAGGGAGGATGCGTGGCGGGCGGGGGCGGCACTCCGCTGCGGTGCGCGACGCTCCTCGCTCCCTCATCCGCTTGCCTTGCCCCCTCCGACGAAAGGAGTTTCTGGGCTCTGTCGACCCTTTTATGAATACGTCCTCTGTGTCACATCCCAAGGTACTCGCCTCCGCGCCGCGGGCATCCGTTTTAAGCGTGTGCATCAGCGTCAAGTGGTCTCATGGCAAACGTGGCAAAAGCGGGGCTCTGGCACGATGTCGGAGTCAGGGCGCAACAGTTGCATTGACTCGTGTTCTGGCGCGACGTTGGAGTTCAAGGAATGGTGTTCTGGCACAGTTCTGGATTTTCAAACAGTTGGCTTCCAACTGGGCACTTCCCTCAGTGAACATGAATCCTTACTGGTGCCTACGAGAGGGAGCTCGGAGGGAGGGTTTATTGCAATATCGTTGATCAGTCGTGTTTTACGCTGGCCCTCCTCCTCCTCCTCCTCCTCCTCCTCATCCTGGCATTATCAGGCATCCGACGTCACGATGTGTTCCACAACTTAGCCTTGTAGCGGTCTGGACGGGGGTTCCATCTTGGGCCGTTTGTTCTTTCGTTCCCGGGGCTTGGTGAAGGCCCTTGGTCAGTTGCTTGCAGCAAGTTGTGGAGCCGTGCCAGCTCGGCATTCTGGTTGGAGATTGATCGGGGTGCGCACAGGAAGCTGTAACGTGCGACACATCGTGTTCTCAGTTTTGGGGGACGTACCATGTGATGTGCTCTTCCGCCTCGTGTCGTGATGTCTCTCCTCGTGTTCGTCGTCGTCTTCCTCCCTTCCTCTGCTTCCCTCCTCTTGCGAGACCTCCTGGGGGTTCCTTGGGCCGTCGTGGTGCGCTCTTGGGCACCTTTTGGAACCCTCCTTGGAAAACCTCTCTGGGCCGTCTTGGGGTCCTTCTGGGGCCCCGAGGGGTCGTATTGGAGGTCTCTTAGGACGTCCTGCGGCCTCCTTGGGCCTTCTTGGAGGCATCTTGGGCCATCTTGAAATCCTAGTGGGCCATCTTGAGGCCCTCAGGGCCGTATTGGGGCAATATTTCGTGCCTCTCGGGCCGTCTCGGGCTAACGGAAGTCCGAAAAGGCGAGAACCCGAGAATCATTCAACAATCAAAGCAAAAGCAATGGTTGAGACACCTTTGTGGCGGTTCTCCTGGAACTCTTTTGGGCTGGCCCTGGGCTGTCTCGAGGCCATCTTGAGCCATCTGGGGGGCACCTTGGGACATCTTGGTGGCCTGCATTCGCCGTCGGGGGAGCCTCGGGAGGGGGACGGTACACGCAGCCAGGCATTCCGCGAGTTCTTTATTCAGAAGGCCACAAGGTTACACGAGCCCTACCGGGCAGCATTTGGCATTCTGCCACGACTCCGCGTGCAAGGGGGCGCGGCAGCGGATACATTGGTTCAGTGTTTGGTTACGTTGGTGCCTGCGGCAAATTCCGCCCCGGCGCCGCCGGCCAGTAGGCTCGGGATGGAGGGGCGGTGTACGCCACGAGGTGCTGCGAAGAGGGGATGGCGTTAAACGACTTCTCGGCGACGCGGCCATGGGGGAAGGCGGATGGGGCGGGCCCAGAAGGCCCAGAAGGCCTCGGGCCTTCCGACAAGCTTTCTATGCTTTCTCCGGAGCCCCGCCGCCTTCTGAAAAGGTCTGTCCACTCCCACTTCCCCCTCGGCGCTCCGCCGATTAGACAAACCATGCCAGACAGCACTTGGCATTCTAACACGCTCAAATCGTGAAGGCACGGCTGCGGATCGCTTTTCAGTGTTTAATGTGTTATGTCTTGCGTTTCACTGCCTTACTTGTTTGAGATTTCTCCTTCCTCTTCTTCTTCTTCTTCTTCTTCTTCTCCCGGGACGTCATCTTGTCGACTCCACCTTAGCCCGACCTCCCGCCACCCACGTGGACAACGTCAGGAAGCGCAGGCTGTTCACCTCCACGCCGACGGTTCTCAACAACAACAACATCATGTTGACTGTTCCTCTTTATCCTCATCTTACGCTTGTCCGGCTTCTCTTGCGAGATGTTCTTAGGGAAGGCCGAGGTGGAGGTGCCGGCTTGGCGCTTGCAGCGTTTGGGAACATGGAGCGTTCAGGGGCTCCGAGCTCAGTTCGGTGTGAAGCATAACGACTTGTTTAATATGATGTCTGTGCCTGCAGGAAACACATGTTACTGGAGCCGATTATTTTACTCAAGATGGGTATCCAGTATCCCCCCACAAGGTATCAACGCGGAAACAAGATCTTGGGCAGGTGTAGGTTTCATCGCATCTCCGTGGATGCGATCAGCGATTGTTGTTTTCAAGGCGAATGGCGATCGTCTTGCGACATTGCGCTTGAAGCCGCATGGCGGTATACTCGCTCTTCCTTCTATGCACGCTCCGCACAACGGGGTGAATTTCGACACGAGGCAGACGTTCTACTATTAGCTTGAAAATCTCGTTCGTCCATCCACGGAACACTCGGCGACACATATTATCGGGGATGTCAACGCTCGGCTACGCTACGTCAAAGCAGGGGAGGAGGATGTCATCGTAATTTGGAGACGGCAAAGGAGCGGATGCGACGTGGCATTGAACAGGCAATTCCTCATGAAGTCTTGCATCGAATGCGACCTCACGATTGCCAGCAGATTCTTGGACCACCCGGACCCATCCAATTCATCACACCGTGATCTTGGCGTCCTTCCGATGGCAGACATATCCGATTCGAAGGTCCTTCATATTTTCATGGTCTGTGTCACCTCAGAAGTATGCCCAGGAAGAACCATTAAACAGCAAGCACCGCTTCCTTACAACAGTTCCTATTTCAATCAAGTTTCAAACGCGGAAGTAAACGCATCACGACAAAGGGTCGTTGAATGATTTTGGTGCAACGTGCGCATTCCTCAGAGCGTTCACCAACGCTGCCCGTGCAGAATTTCAAGACATGTTCGCTCGACGATGTTGCAAATGACAATGAACCAGCCTTTCAACAAGCAGCGTGCACTCTATTGGAGAAATCGGCCTTGGACAAGTCAGCGTGCGCTCGACTTCGTTGAAAAGCGGAGGGCTCATCGACAACCCGATAATTTTGAATCCGACCAAGAATTGAATGAGATGATCAGCGGTGTTGGCATGTACTTCCGTTAGCAATGGTTTGGAACACATGTTGGCAGAGGTGGTTCGGACGCAGCGCGATCCGTACGCAAACCCAGAGGTGCAAACCACAGTACCATCAAAACGCCAGATGGAACGCTGTCATATCCAGCAGAGAACGCGCAAGCCTCATGGCGTACCATGTCGAGATACCGCAGTGTCAATGCGACGTCCAGAATTACAGCCAGAAGCTCAAACTCCAAATAACCATACTCAACCTGTGCGCACATACGATTCTACGACGGAAGAGCTGCACAAGGTACACGTGTTGCAAACGCCCAAGTTTGGAAAGTTGGTTGGCGCCGACGAGATTCCAAAATTTGTTGGGGAATCGCTGATGTACGATAGCGACGCAACTTGCGTCCGATTGATATTATGCATGCAATGTTGGGCTACGGGCTACGGAGGGGACCCCACAATCGTGGAGAACAGCGAAAGTAGTACGTGCTGACAAAAGTGAAGATTCAGCCATTCCCGAGAACTATCGCTGAAGTTCTTTGTTGTCGGTTTGGGCAGCACTCGTACACCAATGGCTATTGGGCGGGGGGGGTGAAAAACGCACGCGCAACTTACAATATGATTGGGCATGGCACCGCGCACGTTTTCCTGCTTGTGGGGCGCGTGTTCGATGCCGCGCACATAAATACTTGTAGTGGGCGTATGGTCTTGATGTTGGATTGGGCAACCGATTTCGGCATAACCAAACTGGTTGCCATGCGCAAAGCATTAGAACTATTCCTGTCATTTAATGACGTCGGCGGCAGGATTTGGTCAAGAGATCTTGTTCGCTCCTGCACTATCGTGGGCTATGCGGAAAACTTTCTGGAAGGAGCCCGAAATACTTGACTGCGCAGGGATGCCCGTTGTCGTTCTACTTGTTCATTGGAGTCCAGACGATCATGATGCATGACCGTGTCGGTTCATTATGTATTGGGCCCGGGTTTGGCCATGCGGTTTCCCAAGACATGTTGTATGCCGACGATGCATTCGTCGACCACGACATCAAATTTTCACGCTATCTGAACCGCAACCGTTAAACAAGGGCGCAACCACGGGTTGGAGTTCCCTTGGGGCAAAACGATTCAGCTACAGATCTCGACATTCACAGAAAGTACAGAACGAGATGGTAGTGCCATGAAGACTGCGAGACGCAGTGTACTTGGGAGGTTTGGTGGCGTGCGACGGTGCAGTTACAACTGGGATGCCCAGGAAAGTGGGTGAAGGAGCCGGAGCCTTCAAGCAGCTTTGCAAGTTGCGGTTCTGGATGAAAGCAACAATACATGATCTACGACAGAGAGGCCGTGACCAAACTTCTCTACGTCTTAGGGTTTGCGATTGCTGCTCAAGGCTGACCTGTCTCGTTTGGACGCTTTGCGTTACAAGAGGCGGAAGCGCACTATTGGCATACATTCGGCATGGTATCTAGAGTGAGTAACGCGAACGTTTGTCTGACATGTTCAGCGGTGCCGTTGATGAAGACGCTTCTTTCTAGCAGCGTGAAGTTGAACAAAAAGATAGATAAGCTTGGCGCGCGCTTACTTGTAAAACGTGTGTTTGCTTGCGCAAACGAGTCTCAGAGGCTGGCCTGCGCACCGCGAGAGAGCCGACCCCGTCAGCAATGCGCAAAGCTTTTTCAACAGCTGACCCAACAGTTTCAGATTGCATTCTCAACGTCCCCTTTTCTCCATCATTCCTCCTCCCCCGCCCTTCCTCCTCCCGTTCTACTCAGAACTCGCATTCTCCATGGGCTGCCAATCTTACCACTCATTGTGCCCCCGCGTCCCTTTGGAGGCTTGGGTGTGTGGTGGTGGCTGAAAATGCGTGTCTCATCTTCCCCCTCCCCGTACCGCCAGAACCAGGTTGCCCGCGGCTGGCTGTCAAGTGCTACTGTCGCGTCCCATTCTCATGCAACAGTATCGCCCAACCCGCATAATACGGATGCTGTGTGAATGGGCGACATCGTGGAGTGCCCTTGGGGAAATCACGCCGCCCTCGGAGACCCACCCCTTCGATGTATTATTCAACCTGACTTCGTCCCCCCGGAAAGGAAAATACATAAGTTATAGCTCCGAAAGTGTATGGCTATGCCGCGTCACCATCAATTGTCGGTGTTCCGCGCGGGTTTTTTTTGATCGGCGCCAGGTCGTTCGATTTGGCGGCGCCTCCGGCGCCGCCCTTGGCACGCTCCGCGTTCCAGGAAAGGGGGTCCAGCGGCGATTTATGAAGTCCGCGCGGAATTCCGAAGGTTTGTGTTTATGCAGGTGTTATGTGTCTCTCGTCCTAAACATTCCCCACCCTCCTTCCCCGCGCAGTTGATAACGTCGAGCCATTCCCCCGGCGAAGACGACGACGACCTCGTCCAGGCAGCCGCCGCCCCGCGTTCTTGCTGCAGCCTCTTTTTATCCACAGGCTCTCAAGGGTGTGGGCGTCCTGCAGAATTGGACGTTGTCCTCCCATGGTTTGGGACTGTCCGAAAGGGGTGTGGATTCGAGCAAGCTTTCACTGAAGTTGGCACGAGCTTTAAGCCGAAGAAGAAGAAAAATCTTCATCAAAAGTCACGTTCGAAGGTCCGCGCGGATTTCATGGATCGGACCTGGGACCCCTGGCGGTGCCGCCAGCGCCGCTTGTTCGGGGGGACCAGCGCCGATCCAAAACACCCGCGCGGACCTCCGAACGCTCATGTTTATGTATGCAGCTGGTTGTTCCTCTAATGGCTTTTATGTTGGATGTTGATCACTCCCACTTGTCAATGTGTCGCGCTTTCAATTCTTCGTCTACTTGAGATTTGTGCTGGGGTAAGGTCTGCGATTTCAGGTTTCGACTTCGATCTGTTCCATGCTGCCGAGACCGTGGCAAAGTGCAACGCTCCAAAGTGTCCTCAGAGCGATGGGTAAGTGCATCCTTGGGCGCCGCTCATGCTTCTCCCCCAGTGGCATGAGCGCGGATATCCCAGCTGAGGCGATGCTGAGTGGGCAGGCGAGGGAGACTTTGCTTGGCCAGTTGCGCCATCGCGCACATCCGCCATCCGCGGTGTAGGTTGGGGTCCGTAGTGGGGCTTGCGGCTGGGCCGTTGCGGAGGAGGGTGCGGGGGGCATCGATTCCCGTTTGAACACGACGGTTCCCGCAAGATGATGGACCCCCTGACCCCTTCTGTTGGGTCGGATGCAAGAGGGGGAATAGGGAGACGAGTTGCTACGAAACCTGCCGCGTGCAGCTGGTTTCGGCTCCGCCGCTGAGAGCGCCCATCTGGAGGCTGGATCCAGCCTTCAAGAGCGGTCTGAGAACGGCCCAGGATGAAACACCGGACTTGATGAAGGAGTGCAAGTGACGATCGTCGTTTGCACCCCTTCAGCAAGTCCGGTTGGTTGGAGATCGTGTGGTTGGAGATCGTCGACGTGTGGTTGGAGATCGTGTGGTTGGAGATCGGTGTTTGCGCCCCTTTAGCACGAGTGTTTGGAGATCGTCGACGATCTCTAACCGCAACATGGACGTCAGCGTTAAGCCCCTTCTGGCCTGCGGGCCGCAGCCCCTGACCCGGGCCGAGGGGGCACTACGTCTCTGCTGGCCGATCCTAGCTGTCTCCGCTTTGCCAGGGCGGCGGGCGCGGCGCGTGAAAGGCCACAAAGCGTGCAGAGAGGAGGAAAAGGAGGGGGAGGAGGAGGAGGAGGAGGAGGAGGAGGAGGAGGAGGAGGAGGAGGAGACGAAGCGACAGGGTAGAGAACAGGGTGGCGACACGCAGAAGGGGTCGAGAGGTCCAGAGTCCCAAGCATCGTGACATTTGGAGCGCCAGATGCATGGGTCCGACCCGAGCTTTGGAGTCCATCTCCGCTGCCAGACGGCACGCGGGCCGTCAGGAAGACCATCCAGTCATGGTTTCTGGATGGCCTCGGTCTCATGGTGAAGAGGAGGAAAGGGAGTCCGACAGCGCCAGCCACTGCTTTGTCTTCGCTTCTCGGCAACGCTGGGTGTTCAAAGTTTTTCCTGTGCCGTGTTGTGTCGCACGCGTCCAGAGCATGCTGGATGGTTTGTCGGTGGGGCTGTGTAGGAGGAGGAGGAGGAGGAGGAGGAGGAGGAGGAGGAGGAGGAGGAGGAGGGGGAGGGGGAGGAGGAAGCGGCGAGCGAAGTATGAGTGAGGTAGGAGCGGAGCCCGAGTGTCGTGAAGAAGGCGAGGGAGTGAGGAGGAGGAGGAGGAGGAGGAGGAGGCATCTATGCCCATCGGTCGTTGGAAGTAGGTATTCATTCATTCCCAGGTCCCAATCTAGTGTTGGCGCCTTCCAATTTCAAGTGTCGACCAATTCTCCCCCAGGCCTCCTCTTCAGGGGCGGTTGGAAACCCAATCAGCTTTCAACGCCTGTCCGCTTCATGTCTCTGCCCATCTATTCCGACCCATGGGTAGTGTTGTCCGAGTGGTGCGGAAGATGAGCGGAAGAGAGGGCCACGGGCCCTCCTCCTCCCTCTCCTCCTTCCTGGACCCCGACACGTCTGCGCAGATCCTGCCCCTGGAGGCAATCCTGGCAAACCTTGCATCCCTTCTCGATGTTTTGCGCTACCGGGGACTGGCGCTCGGCAGCGCGCCCCAGAGGGAAGGCAGGGGGGACGGGCCCAGTCGGAAAGCTCAGGGGGCCTCCGGCCTTGCATCACGCCTCGGCACGCCGCCGAGCGAAGGAGCGAAGTGGGGGCGTGGACACGGCTCGGGCATCTGGAGGCCCCTCCCCTGGCGGGCAGAGCGGGGGGGCGGCAGCGGAGGCATGGATCGAGCGTCGATCGCCGACTCTTCCTCCTCCGACCCTGGCAGGGGCCAGGTCGCGGTGACCCCAGATAGCTTGCTTCTCAGCCGCGCCCAGCCGCGGCGACTGTGACTGACAGTGGCAGCGGCGACCTCGACGGTGACGACATCCGGTCAAAGTAGGTCCCAGGACGCTCGGGGATCGACCCTGGTCAGTCTTACGAGCCGCGTCCAGCCTCGGCGACGAGACGCTGAGGCCAGAATTAAACATATCTTTGGAACCGATGTCACAGTACCTCAGGAGGCTTTGGATAGGGATGGTATTCTCGGACCCCTTGGGGGGGACTCAAACATTTCCATGTCCTTTGCCTCCCCAGGTCCTGGGACATCGATTCTCCAGCAGGTTCATGCATATACGGTAGGTTCCGGTCGTGTCGATGAGGCTGCGACTCTGTCGCGGTCCGCTCGGCGTCCAGAACAGAGGCCGGGGTCGTCAGGATACGAACCTGGGGTAAGTTCATGTTTCGGAGGGAAGCCTTGGACATGCTCCAAAGACTTCCGAAGCGGCGGCGGCGACGACCCCGACCGCCGCCGACAGGAGGGGAAGCGCACCTCGCAGGGGTCCGCCCTGCCGCCGCCGCCGCCCTCGCCCCTCCCCAGACACCTGGCGCTCCGATGTCCTTGGTGCGTGGGCCCCCAGACCTCTCCTTGGGGACGTCCAAGAGTCCAAGAGGGAGGTGAGGACGAGGTATATGTGTTTGTGTCTGTGTTTGTGTCTGTGTCTGTGTATGTGAGTTTTGCAAACGCAAAATGCCCGTGTGCAGGAGCTCCGAACCCAACCCTCGAGGAGGCGTCAGTTTTTTTTTTCAGGCGTGTGCATACCTTCCCTCGATCTGTCCTTACCGTTCACCAATCCAGTTTCCTGTTCTGTTCAGGACACGCCGTGCCCGTTCGGCAGTTCGGGCTGCAATGGCCTCGGGGCGGGCTCAGCGCCGACGTCGACGCTGGCGCGCCCAGCCGGGTTGACGAACCCACATACACCTCGCGGCGAAGGGCATCAACACCACCGAGCCGATCGTCTACGTCTCCAAACGCCCTGGCCAGCGCCGTTCCGAGGGCATCAACAACACCGATGCCTATGTCTCCAGCCGCACCGGCCAGCGCTGCTTCGTGGGCATCAATTCCCGCGAGCAGACCGTCCACGACTCCAGCTGCCCCGGCGAGTGTTGCTTCGAGGACACGCCGTTCCAGCAAGGCAACGTGGGTTGCGATGGCTTCGACGTGTGGCCGACGCCGGCGCGCCTGGTCCAGGTTGCCGTGTCCACCACCACTGACAAGGGCAAACTGGTGGAGGGCATTCAGACCGCTCAGCCGTTCGTCTACGTCTCCAGCTGCCTTGGTCAGTGCTCCGAGGGTATCAATGCCGCCGAGCCGGCCGTCTGCGTCTGCAGCTGCCCTGCCCAGTGATGCTGGTTCGAGGGCACGCCTTGCCGCTACTGCGACGTGGGCTTTGGCCTCAGCTCGTGCTCAGCGCCGGCGCAGACGCCCGTGCGCATGGTTCAATTCGGTGAGCCCACCAAAACCGATGTGAGCAAAGTGGTGGATGACATCAACACCTCCAAGCCTTTCGCCTACCTGTCCAGCTGCCCCAGCCAGTGCTGCTTCGGGGGCATCAACCCCGCTGTGCCCATGGTTACGATTCCAGCTGTCCCGGCCAGTGCTGTTCCGAGGGCGCGCCGTGATGGTAATCAACGCGTGCTGCTGGGCAGCCCGCAGCATGATCACCAGGGTCAGCCCATCCCCGCCGTGCGGGTGCAGTTCGCCGTCAGCAGCGCATTCTGGCATCAGCATAGTCCGGGTTCGCTCGTTGCAATGTCGCACCTCCGAATGACGGCGAGCATTGAATTCCTCGGGCGCCCGTGGTGGCGAAAGTGGCTGGTCTGCAAGTGATGGAGCGCCACCCCAGGCTTGGCTCAAGCACGGTCACGTTGCTTCCCGCACGCGTGTGTTTGCGAGTAGCGTCGGCTTCTCCTTTTGCAGACTGCCGATTCGTTGCTTTTGGCGACATTGTGCATCTTGTCGTTTTGCACCGTTTGAATGTTTATTTCGACTGTCTGACTCACAGTGCTTCTCGGTGATCTGCCGTGACGGAAGTGGCTGCTCTGCGAGAGTTTGAGCGCCGGCCCAGGCTTGGCCCAGTCAGGTTGTTCCCGCGCGCTTGCATGGATTCCGGCAAGGTCGCTTCAGTTTTTATGTTTAGTTGCGCAGGCTAATAGTCCTCTGCATTTTGAAAAATTCAGACCGCGGTTCATTGCACGAGTTGGCTTGTTGCATGTCGGACGCTCGAGATGCGTTGGATTTGCCTGCTGCGTATATATATATATACACATATATACATATATATATATATATATATATATAGCGCGTCCTCGTCGCCGCCCCCACATGCCCTCGCCTTCTTTCACATCGGCCGCATTGCCCCCCCCCCCCCCCCCCCCCCCCCCCCCCCCCCGCTGCACCTGGCCGGGCCTTGAGCTGCCGCCTGGGGGGCCGGGCGCGGCGAGCGCGCGAGAGGGCGGGGCCGCGCCTCCCGCGGCCAGTTATCCCGCCGGCCGCGGGGCCGCTCGGCTCCAGCCAGGCCCCCCCGCCGGGGGGTCGGGCCGCGCGCGCTGCGGCGCCGCGGGCAGGGCGGCGCCCCAACTTTGCCACTTTCCATCTTGCCTCCCCCCCGGCGGCAGGGCGGGCTGCAACTTGTTGCGCTGCCGGCGGGGCGGCGCCCCCGCTCCGCCACGCCCGATCGAGCCCCCGTGCCGACGGGGCAGGTTGCAATAGCGCCGCCGGCAGGGCGGCGCCCCAATTCTGCCGTTCGGGGCAGTCCGCCCGCCCCCCTCCCCGGTCTTCCCAGTTCTGCATTGCCCGTCGTCGTCGCCCCCCCCGCCCCTTCCCGCCGCGCTCCCCGGAGATATTCCGCGGCCATTTTAGCCCGTGACTGCCGCGGGCGCCAGGCGGGCTGCAGCGCCGAGGCCCCCTTCCTCCCGGCCGGGGGGGGGGGGCGGCTTCGCTGCGGCCGCGGCGGCAGGGGCGCGCGCGACTGCCGCCTTTGGAGGCGGCCGCCCCCGCGCGCGCGCTCGCCGCGGAGCTGCGCGGCGCGACGGCGGCGAGGCGGGGGGCCCGCCGCGGGGCGCTGGAGGCCCGCCGCGCGACGCTGGGGGCCCGCCGCACGGCGCCGGGGGCACGGCCAGGTCGCGCCGGGACCGCGCGGAGCTGGGCGCCGCGCTGCCGAGCTCGCTGCGCGAGCGCGCGGCCCGCCTTGCGCCGGGGCGGGCAGCGCGGGGCGAACGCTTGCCCGGCCTCGGAAAACAAGAGGGCGCCGCGGTGTTGGGCAGCGGCCTCTGTCTCATCGTCGCGGGGGTTGATGGCGCGCCCGCGGGCGCCCATGGCGATCGGCCCTGCCCCGGGCCTTTGCCGCGACGGGGGGGCCCTCTGGGCTGCGCGCGGCGGCCCCTTCCTGCTTCGCGCCCACCGCGTGCAGGGGGGGGGGGGGGAGGGGCGCCCCTTGGCGCGCGGCGCCCCCGCGGCGCCGTTGCCTTCAGCGCCTGCGACGCGGGGCGGGGCCCGCGAGAGGCAGTGGGGCGCGCAGAGGCCATCGAGCTGGGCGCAGGCAAGGTCGCGGGCGTGCCGACGGCGCGGCACGTCGAGGACCTCCCCCACGACGCGAAGGCGGAAACGCCTGGAGGACCGCGCGGACCGCGGAGGGGCCGATGCTGGAGCACGTGGCGAGGCAGCATTGGCATCGCCGTGGCAGGTGGGCGACGTCGAGGCGCATGGGAGCCCCCCGTCGAGACGCTGCAGCCCGCCTACAGTCAGTGCTTCGAGAATGGGGGGGAGCCTGACCTGCGCCAGGCCGCGCAGGACGAGGCGGAGGCCTTGCGTGCAGCGGCGGGGCGCGCGCCGCGCGCGCCCTGGCCGCGCGGCCCCGCGCGGCAGTTGGGCGCGGCCCCCGAGGGCCGCAGGAGAGGCCGCCGGGCGAACGCTCCTGGCCGGCGAAGGACGCGCCGAGAGCGGGCAAGGCGGCCGCGGGCGCGGCCCGGGCGACGGGTGACGCGGCGGTCCGCTGGAGCGCGGTGCCGGCTGACAATCTGGCAGACGAGCGAGCCGATGAGCGCGCCGACGCGCGGCGGGGCGTCGCGGAGTTCTCGCGCGAGCTCGGGGCGGAGTGCGACGACCTTCAGGTCCAGATCGTCTGCTCGGACGACGTGCTGCGCGGCCTGCTGCAGGGCCTCGGCGACAGGGGGCGGGGCGCAGGAGGTCAGTTCGATCCGCTGTTCGCCCGAAGACGGCCCCCTCAGCGTCGCGCGATTGTGCCCGCGGGCCCAGGCAGCGCGAAGCTCGCTGCGCGAAGGTTTTTTTTTTTTTTTTTTTTTTTTTCCCGCGGGCAACCTGTTTGCGCCTCTGCCTTGGCGCGCGCGCCGAGCGCTTGCGCGGGAAGGCGCGCCCCATCGGGCAACCTCGCTGCGCCGCTGCTGGGCGCGAGCGCCGCGCGCCTGCGCGGAACGGGGGCCGCGGCATGAGGCCCGTCGCGCGGATGACTTCGCGCGGCCTCGGAGACCGTGCGTTGCGTGCCCAGTCGCGCATTGGGCTCTCGCGGAGGCGCGCCTCGCGGTGCCCGCGGCGACGTTTCGCCACGCATCGCTTGTCGATGATGTGGGCTGTTCGACCCATGCGGCGGCCACCTTTCATCTGCGCGTCGAAAGTCTCTCCAGATGTGAGGCGTCGCCAGCGAGCTCTCTTCGCCCCCCTTTCCACGGGGGGTAATCCGCCTCACCCCACTGGCTGTAAGACCGCCCTTACTTCCCCCCCTCCAGCGGGGGGCAGTCCGCTACCTTCGCTCTCCCGCCCTCCTCATTCTTCTCCTGTCGTCGTCGCCCCCTCTCCGCGCCCGAGGCGCGGCTTCCGCGCGCGGTGCCCGCCGGGCTTGCCTTCGGCCGCCCTGTGGCCTCTCCATTATCGCCCCTGTCGTTGCCCCTCCCCCGTCGGTCAGCCAGTGTCCTTCGTGTCCTTCCTCGGCTGTCCGTCCACTGTCGTCCGTCGTCCCTCACTCATCCCTCTCCTTACTTGGCCCCACCTTCTCCCTTGTCGTGCTGGCCCCTGGTCGTCCTTGTTGTTGCTGGACTCGGCATTGCGATCGCGTGCGTGCTTTGACGGCTCCTCCGGCCCAGCTGCTGCTTGACTCATTTCGCCAGGGGCCGATTGTTTTGCTCGCGCTCACGCGGCGCGCGTGGGTTGACAGCATAGTGATTCGTTTGCCCGCTGACGACCGGAAAGTGTGTGTGTGTGTGTGTGACTGTTGGGTTTGCGAGAGTGTGTGTGTGTGTGTGTGTGTTTGGTGTTGTGTGTTTGGTGTTGTGTATGTTGTGTATGTTGTGTGTTGTGCGTGTTGCGTGCGTGTTGTGCGTGGGCCTGGGTATCATGGTCAGGGCCATGAAATCATCCAGATATCATGGCGTTTCTTATCATGTCCCCCGTCCGCACATGTTTCGGGCCGTGACCGCGAAGCCATTGTTTGACGCCTGGACGCCTCCGAAAGCTGGCGCGGCGATTGTTGTGTCGATGCGTGGTCCCACATGACTGATTTTCGTCATGATGAACGGAAATGGGTCCTGTTGGAAGCGGGTCTTGCATGTCTTCCGTCGTCTGTTCGGTTTCTCCGTTGTTTTCCACGGGCCCAGGGACTGCCAACACACATTCAGTATTCGGGATGAAGAGTGACTGCCAACACACATTCAGTATTCGGGATGAAGAGTTGCCCCGCGGGGAAGGCCCTTTGTCAGGGACCCGCTTCCTTCAGGACTATTTCCTTCCATTGCCAAGTTTTTTTGTTGATATTAGCGTCGTTTTGTTGACGGTCCCGCGAGGCTACGCGGAAGGATCGCTGGAGTGACCAATTCGATGCGAGCCCGCAAAGGGTCCCCCTTGTACTGCCTTGCGCGAGTGGTGGATATGTTCCTCCGCGGCCTCTTGAAGCCGCGCACGAAAAGGTCGCCCACTCTTGCCTAAGGTGCCTAGGGTCACTTTTGACGCTCGTCAGTTTGAGACCGTGCGGCCCAGCAGCGGCCGTTGTCGGTTTTGGACGACATTTATTGTTGGGCATCGTACTCGTGTTTCCTTCCCCACTTCGGGCGTCCGAAAGGAAGGTTTCGCGGAACTTCAGAGCTCCCCCTCCTCTGCATTTTCGTTTTTTCGTTTGGCCAACAAGCAGAGCCGCAGCAAACGGTTTCCTCCTCCTCCTCCTCCTCCTCCTCCTCCTCCTGTATGTTGTCTGCCTTATCTCGGAGACTGGAGCATATACATTACCAGTGGCGGGCGGCGTTTCAATCCCAGGATTGTTTGAGGGTCGGGGACGACGTCGGGGGTGGTGTAACATTTTTCCCCGTTTTCCCGTTGAAACAACGAAGACTGTGTACACCAGGGTCCCGTATACACCAGGATCCGCTCTCCAACGCAAATTTCAATGCAGGGCCAGAAAAATACATCGGTGTATAGAGTTCGATTACTTATTATCATCTTCTCTGTTCCCCTCCCCCCTTCCCCTCTCGTCTTCCTCCTTTGTTCCGCCTCCTCATCATCTCGTCCTCATCCCTCCTCCTCCTTCTTTCTTCCGCCTCCTCATCGCTTCCTCCCCCTCCAACTCCTCCTCCTCCTCCTCCTCCCTCCTATGTTCCTCCCTCCTGTCTCCTCTTGCTTCTCTCCTTGCTCTCTTTTCTTTTTTATCCTTCTCCTCATCCTCCAGGCCGACGCCATGGGATGCGGTGCGGACGGCGTCTTCTTGATCGAGGATGCATGTTCGATGACAGAGGTTCGAGTTTTCTGATTTTAGTTGGGCCCTCTTTGGACCGTCAGGAGGCCTTTCGCTTTAGTCGCTCGTTTTGGAGACCTTATGTGTTCGACTCTACTTCCGTTCTTTCTCGAGTCAGGTAGCACTCAATTTCGATTGAGGTCGATGGACGTTCGACGCAGTATCGTCGCATGAGTGGAGAGAGTGGCTCCAGTCCAGGAAGGTCCCCAGGACGAGCATCTAACTCCTGCCCCTTGAAATTCTGTTCTGAACCCACCCCAGGGCAGGTCTCGCGGGGCATCTTTGTATCCCCCATCTTGGACCTGCATCGTCATGGAAATATCGCGATGGCCCTTTTGTGTCATAATGTTGGGCGTCCGCAGGCCGCAGGTTTGTCTGGACAGGGCGTCCACAGTTTTTTCTGGACATCCTCAATCGGCCCAGGACGCAAAACCTGCACGGGGGCCCAGAGTGCTGGGGGCAGGCTCGCGAAACAGGTGGGCACTTTCGTTTCTGACTAGCCCTCCTTGGCCGTCATGGGAGCCTGATGGCAGGGGCGGCTTGACCGACCCTTGGCAAACTTACCCGTTCTGTGATTACCCCCTCGCCTTGCTCCGAGACGTGGGCAGGCCACCCGAGAGTAGCTTCGAGGGTGAACGGTTAGTCACGGACGGGGCTTGTCACGGAAAGGTTCGGTTTTGTCGCGCCCGATACGAGATTACGCAACATAGATTTCACCATATGTGTTGCACCATTTTGATTGTGCAGCGTCGATCGATAGTAAAACATTTTAGGGGTCCACTGCGGTTGCCATTGGTTTTGGAGTGCGTAACGGCCGTCATCTGCCCCCTGGGCAACGGTAAGGATCGTACGAACACGGGGTGGGGCGGGGGTTGGACCACACATTTCAGTTGGTGCTCGCGCGCATACCATGGCGATCGCAGCCCACCCCGCTACCCAGACATCATACCAATGATCCTGGCGAACGGACCCAGTCAAACGCAATTGACAGTGCCGCGTTATGGGCACCGCTTTCGGTGGAGCCCCCATATAGGGGCCGATCAACGTGTGAGGGGTGTGCTCACATGGGCGGGTGACCTCATGTGGGCCGGGGCCGTCGGTGGAGCCCAACATGTGGCCACGAAGCGTGTGTAGGGGTTGGCCGAAGTGGGCGGAGGACCGCACGTGTACCCTGCCACTGAGGCCTTCAGTGGACCTACCAATGGCGCAACGAAACGTGTGACGGGCCGCGTGTGGACCTTGCCACTGGCGCCTTGGGTGGAACTCTCTATGGGCCACAGAACGTGTGAGGGATGTGCCCATATTGGCGGCATGGGCCACGGAACGTGTGAGGGGTGTGCCCACATGGGCGGGGAACCGCATGTGGACCTTGCCTTTGGGGCTTTCGGTGGAGCTCCCCATGGGACCACAAAACGTAAGAGGGTGTGCCGAAGTGGGCGTGGACTAGCATGCGTTTGTCACTGGGGCCTTCGGTGGAGTCCTCTCTCTGGGGCCACGAAGCGTGTGAAGAGTGTGCCGAAACGGGCGGGGAACCGCACTCGAACCCTGCTATTGGGGCCGTCGGCGGAGTTCCCCTTGCGGCCGCGAAACTTGTGAGCGATAATGGGGGTGGGAACCGCGTTTGAATTGTGCCACTGGGGCCCTCGGTGGGGCTCCCTGTGGAGCCACGAAACGTGTGAGAGGTGTGCCGACATGGGCGGGGAACCGCATGCGAATTTTGCCGTTGAAGCCTTCGGTGGAGCTCCTGATGGGCGGGGAAACACATATGGACTTTTCCATTGAGGCCTTCGGTGGAGCTCCCTATAGGACCACTAAACGTGTGAGGGGTGTGCCGACATGGATACGCATTTGGACTTTGCCATTGGGGCTTTCGGTGGAGCTCCCGATGGGACCACGAAACGTGTGAGGGGTTCGCCGAGCAGTTTGGCGTTCGGAGGGCAGAGACAGTGATGGGAGAAAGAGGATGAGGAGAGGAGAAGACACAGGAACTCTCTCTTTGAAAGGAAGACCCAACACCACAGGATAGTTGGGAACAAACATTATCGACTGGTGTCTCCTGCAGATTCCTGGCCTGGGCTCTCAAGGAGCGTCTTGCCTCTGGGCCCTGGGCCGTCCTGGAGCCTTCCGGAGCTGAGCTGGAACGCAAGTGGTCGGCTCGTTTTTTTCTCCCAGGTGAGATGATTCGTTCGGTTATGCACGGACTTTCGATGCTTTGTGAATTTTCCTGGCGTGCGGCTCAGGTCGTGCGTGCACTATCCATGGCAGCGTCTGGTGCCACTAGGAGGAGGAGGAAGAGGAGGAGGAGGAGGAGGAAAAGGAAAATGAGGAGGAGGCGGAGGGATGGGAAGAGACAATAGGAGTGAGAAGAGGAGCGTTGGGGTAAGGATGGTGCAGCCTTCTCGTCTGCGAGTCTTTCCTTATCTCCAGATGGAAATGCACACGCTAATGGTATGATGCGTTACGCGATACGATATTTTCTTGCCAGGGGCTTGACATGATGCTCGGTGCGAAACCATGAGCTTGAGCGTAGTGGTCAAACGGAGACGAAGGCATTCGAACTGTTTGACGGTCTGACCATGGGATTGCGTGATCTTTATGCACCGCGCACAGGTTGGAGCGCAGACTGTCGGCAACCGAGATGCTGGCCGAGGTGGCTCCATGCACCAGTCCAGATAGACAGCAGAGCTACACAGTGGTTATCATGTTCTCCTCCCCAGGCATGCTCACGTCGTAAAGACATCACGACGGAAGGTGTTGGCCGTTCTCGGCCTTTGGGGGCCCTTGCAGGGACCAGGGACCGTCAAACAACGACTCGGGGTGAAAAAGTGGCCCTGGGGAAAGGGCCAGGACAACCCGGGACTTCGTATTGGCAGCAAACAAAACATCACAGGTTTGGGTCCAGCCCTCCCCTTGTCCGATCCTTGTTTGCTCATCTTTATCTCTCTCCCTTGGTGCCCGTGCTCTTCCCTGTCCTTCCCACCCCGTCTCCTCCCTCCGGCAATTCTTGCGTCTCTGCCAACTCGTCGCTCATCTGTCGTCCGTCGTTTTCGTCGCCGTGTCCCGTCGTCTCTCTGACCTCTGCCGCTGGGCTCCTCTTGGGCTGGTTTAAAGCTGCATCCCCCAGCTCCCAGCACCGCTGCTGCTGCTGCTGAACGCTTCCTCTCCATCTGCTGGCCCACCTCCCTCTCGATGCCCCCGCTCGTTGTTGTTTGTCCTCTCCTGTCCACCCTCTGTCATGGGCAACGTTCGGGGGAGACACGTTCAGGGGGAGATCTATCGATCCCCAGTCGCCCATTGATCGTCGATAAGGACCCAACAGCCCAACCCGCCCAGGAACGTGCGGGTTCGCTGTCGGGGGCCTATCACCGATCTATTGGCGATGTATCGCCAATTCCAGGTCGATGTTTCTCCAAGTGAGCTGGTCCGCCCCTATCGTTTGCCCCTCGCTCTGCCCCAGTCCTCGAAGGCGAAACCGCTGCATAGCATAGGCGTTCAGAGCTTCGCGCGGATCGCTTGGCTCGGCGCTGGGTCCCCCTGGCGGCGCCCACTGCCGTTGCCCCCCCTGTCTCGCGAACCCCGATCGTTGTCGTCTGTCCTCGCCTGTTCCCACTGTGCCTTTGTCCTCGAAGACGAAACAAGGGCATAGCATACATCGGCGGCGAGCCAGGGGGGAAGGGAGAAACAGAACAAGGTGTTCTGAAAAGGCGGCGGGGCTTCTCAGAAGCCAGCCGGCCTTCTGAGAAGTTGCCTTTATCTTCGGGCAAGGCTTAGAACACTTGTCAGAAGGCTGGGGGACTTCCGAACCTCTGACGCCTAGCCTTCTGAGAAGGCCCGCCCCTTCTCGTTTCCCCCCCTCGCCCGCCGCCGACCCTCGTCCTTGTCTAGCATAAACGTTCGGGGCTTCGCGCGGATTTCTTAGATCGGCTCTGGACCCCCCTAGCGGCGCTTCCAGCGCCGATCCAAGATACCCGTCCAGAGCTCTGACAATTTAACGTTGATGCAATTATCCGAACAGAAATGTATCCATAATCCACCGCCTCGGGAATCGATATTCGGGGACCCCAGCAGTCGGCGGCCGTGGATGTATTCAGGCCACTTTGGGGCCAACATAGATCTATACACCAGGCGCTGGGGTTCTCATATACCACTAGGGCGAACCGATGATCAAAGGCAAGGTGTTCAAAGAACAATTGTTTGACCACCAAGGAGCAGGAGCAGGACACACCTAGGCTACACCAAGCACCACCCTAGCGAACACGCCGATTACAAGTGCGAAGACGTGGATATCAATATTGTGCGGTCCAAGAAGATGGCCGTCTTGGGAGACCAAAAAACGTGGCACAGAAAAGAAGGGATTTTGACCACCACAGCGGCAGCAACAAACATGGAAAAACAGGTGCAGGATTCTATCCAGACGTGGAAGGACAAGATCAACGCGGACCCGCCCACGGACAGCGACCTGTGACAAGGATGGCCGCCAGGCGCGCGAATCCAGCGTGCCCACCACAAGCAGCAGCGACTCCACCCGACCAGCAGCAACTACCTACCATCGCCCAGCACCGACCAGCAACACCAACACACGCAGCACCGACCAACGCCGACCAGCAACCACCGCAACCAGCGCCGACCCCACCCGACCAGCGCGCTCCACCGAACAACGCCGACCAGCAGCACCGCTACAAGCGGCAACGACTCCAACCGACCAGCAGCAACCACCCACGATCGACCAACACCGACCAGCAGCACCAACCCCAACCGACCAGCAACTCCCAGCGCCGCCCGCCGCCGACCAGCACCGACCAGCAGCGCCACCGCAAGCGTCGCCGACCCCAACCGACCAACGCGCTCCACCGGCCAACGCCGACCACCCACCAGCAGCACCGCCAGCAGCACCGACCCCAACCGACCAACACCGCCAGACAGTACTCGCCACCGACCAACGCCGACCGGCAGCATCACCAGAAGCAACAGCGATTCCAACCGACCAGCAGCAACCGCCACCCACCACTGACAACCACCGACCAACAGCACCATCGCAATCAGCACCGCCCCCACCGACCAACTCAAGCAGCTCCATCGGTCATGACGGTCATTCATGAAAACGCTTGGTCACTGACGGCGGGACGGACGATCGAATCCAAGAGCTCATCGCAGACCTTGACGGTGCACAGTGGGATTTCGTGTTCATCAATCAGACGTGGAAAACGACGGCGACGGAGCTATGGGCAACCACAAAGGGGTGCATTTTCGCTGGATCTGGCAACGACCAAACGTGCCATGGAGTTGCAATTCTCGCGCAGAAGCGTCGGGGCAAGCAAGTAAAGAAATGTCCAGCACTTTCGCCGAGACAAGCCACAATTCGGCGCACAGGGGCCCGACGCCAACACCAAGACCCCATTGGAAAAGAAAAATCATTGCCTCCGTTGACTGCCGTCGCCCGTGTCTTCGGGCTCGCGTGTCCCGCGCAGATGAATGCCAGCTCTGGAAGCATGGGAGCAAGGCGGGCCGTTTCTATTTCCCCTGGTGGGCGCGAGAATTTCCACGGGCCGCGCGGGGCCCGTGGGCCGCGCGAACCCAGCCGGCCCGATGAGCCCGTCAAGTCCCACAAAGGTGTCTTGGGCCGCGCGTGCGCCGCAGCGCGCATGGGCCCAATGCGCCGCGTTGGCCTAGCGCGCCACGCGGGCCCCATGTGCCCCCTGACTCGTCAGGGCCCCATGTGCCCCCTGACGCGAATCCCGCGGGCCATGGGGGCCCCATGGGCCTTGGGGGCGCCATGAGCCCCATGTGGCGCTTTTCTATCACGCAGGCCCCATGGCCTGCACATTCGCAGAGCAACGCGAGCCACCTCGAGCTTTCCATGCTCTTTTGTCGCTCAGCCCCCATGGGGAAAGGGCTCCCAAGTTTTCCAGTGGCGTCTTGGTGCTGGCGCAGGCGCTTCGTTCCCTGCAACATCAAAAAGCCGACGCCAGCACCGGGGCCCTTTTCTGAAACGGCGGCCCCATGGGCGAGCTGAACCCTTTCGACGAATTCGGAAGTTTGCCAGGTGCTGCGGGCCTGGGTCAAGAGGGGGCCGCGGTCGTTGACCCCGGACGCGCAGGGCGGCCGCCGCCCCCTTTCGCGGGGGGTAGGCGGCTCGGAATCGTCGGGCGCTGGCTTCGGGCAAATAGGGTTCGGGGATGCGACGCGGGCGGGCAGTGGGCGGGCGCGCGGGGGGGGCGGGGGGCGCGCGAGGGGGGCGAGCGGGCGGGGGGGGCGCGGAGGGGGGCAGCGGCGGGGGGAGCGAGGCTTCGGTCATGGAAGATGCCGCATCCTTCGGTTCTCCCTCCTCTCCCGAGAGCGCCCGCCCTCCCCGGCCGCCAGCCGCGTCCTCGGGCCAGGGCGGGGTCGCGCGGGTCCAAAACAGACGTCAAACTTTCGCGGAAGAAATATTTTCTCGGCGTTAGTGTTGGTTTTCTGTTCTCCCAACAATGCAATTGCAGAGGGGGCGGCTGAAATTGCAATTGGCGCTGGCGCATTTCCCGCATTTTGGTCGCAGCGACCCGCATGGCCAGCGCATGTGCGACGCCATCCACGAGATCCACGGAGCGAGCAGCAACGCGCGACGTCACATCATCCTCGCCAGCGGCTTCAACGCGCAGGTCGGGGCACCCACCAGACAGCGACAACGACGACGACGTCCGCGTCACCTTAAGATGCGTTGGCCGCCGCAGTTATGGGGGGCGGAAACTCAAGAGGCACCTGGTTACGAAGGTGGGCAGCATAGGCAAGGCATGTAACCGAGAGCACATTCTGCAAGCCGGCGCACGAGCAGAAAAGTACACCCGCGGCGACAACGAGGAGCAGCTCGATTACATGTTGTTTAGCCGCAATTTCGACATTGCACGAGCGCTGCGGCCAATGGCACGTCCGATCTGGGATCCGACCACAAGGCTGTCCTCGCCGATCTGAAGATACCAGAATCCACGGAAACGAAACGATCACGGCGCGACGACAAACGACGACATCATTCACCGCCATGCAAGCCGACCGACAGGACAAATCACCAACGCTAGCGTCCTACCACGAGCACCAGCGTCCACGACTGCACTCAAAGGAGTTACCATCCGACCCGCAAGCACTGAGCGACCACATACAAAACGTTCTCATCGAGGCCGTCGTTGCCAGCACTGCCAGTGAGCGACTAGGAGACCGCCCGCCTGACAGGGAGAAGAGCGATTGCATTCCCTTCTAGAGCGGCGCCGCCAGACGCCAGAAAACGTCCATTGAAATCGCAAGCAGTTGGGCAAACCTACGCAGCAGGTGGTCCGCGCGCAGAAGCGGAGGAAACGACAAACTCATATAAGTTACGCATTCGACCAGCTTAGAGACTTGCAGAGCGCCACGCGCATCCAAACACGCAGACAGCGGACCCCCATCGCGCGCGTGACAGACAAAGACGGCGCCAAAGGCGCGACAAGACAAGACATTGCCGACGTGTTCGCAGAATTATACAAGCACATGTACGACCCGACGGCAGAGACGACGCAGCCGGAGCGACCTGACGACGACCTCCCACCACTCACAAGAACAGAGTTGGGCGAGGCGATCAGAGGGGTCCGCTATGGCAAAGCCGTCTACACCAATGGCCCCCGCGTAGAGATGCTGAAAGAAGGCGCGGATGGTTCAAAGAAGCTCTGCCGCGCATCTACGCGACGCTCCTGCCATCCAACGCCCCGCTACTTGCCGGCCGGAAGGGCGCGCATGTCGCGGCCGTTTCACAGCTAAGAGAATTCGCGCTTCCTCAAAACTACCGCCCTATGTGCACGATTCCGTTGCTTTACAAGCGCTTCAGCAGAGTACTCTACCACGACTCCAACCAGCATTCGACCCTCGACAGGCAACTGATCAGGCAGGCGCCAGACCAGGAGATTCGATCATTGACCACTTTTTCGCATTTCACATTATTCGAGTGCGCGCGCGCGGTTGGAGCCAGCACTTGCGGGTTGCAGCGCTCGGCTTTACAGGGCTTACAACGTGGTCGAACGCGAAAGCAGATGAGCGGCACTCAAGGCGCAAGGTGTCCAGCCAGGATACATTTCTCTATTCCAGCAGCTGCGCGAGGGACAGGCGGCCACAGTCGAGACGGACGTAACCAGCCGGCCCTCCAGCCGTTGACGGAGCGCGAAGCAAGGGAGCCCGCCCCGTTCCTTTCTCTGGAACGTTATTCGACAACACATTTTCGAGCCGCGGATCGCCGAATTGCAAAAAGAAGGGCAGGGGCGTTCAGTTGGGGCCCGCCACCGCCGCCGCACTCACCAACGTTCGCTTCGCCGACGACGTGCCCCTGACCCGGCAGGCTCTTCCGCGCCTCGCCGCGATGCTCGGATATATCGCGCGCGCAGCACGGGCGCGCGGATTCCAAAAACAAGATGCCGAGCAACCGGGCGAGACGGGCCGGCAGGGCGAGCTCGCGCACGGCGCGCGTTGGCGGCATTGACATAGACATCTTGCCACGCGATGGCAGCATCAAATGCTTCGGTCAATTCATCAGCTTCTACGACGCGATGGAGACAGAGACCCGCCACCGCACGAGAGCCGCATTGACATCATTCACCTTGCGCAAACAAGAGTTGACCAGTAAGCATTAACCGTTGGCGCACATGCTTCGATTGTTCTATAGCACGGTGACGCCGACGGCGCTGCGCGGCACGCAACACAGCAAGAGGCGAGAGCAACGACAACGGACGACAACGAGAACACGCTAGAGCACTCGGTTGAGTACATTCAGCGAGCAACACGGCGTGCAGAGCAGGTCATGCAGCACCAAGTCGCAAATTGGGAGACGATTCGCAGACAGAGGTCGTGGCGCATTTCGTCGAGGGTTGCTAACCATGACTCCACCACCAGGTGGGCGCGGCGCGCGCCCCACTGGCAACCGGGAGAGAATGCACGCCAAAGCGGACAGCAACAGCAAGGTGGCCAGCGCGAACGTTGGGAGGACGACGTCGTCAAGTTCTTCCAGCATACCAACCCCGACCAGCAACCAGCATCCAACGCCCACGCCGACCACAAAAGGCCAACTGAACGACTGCACGTGGATTCGCACGGCTCAAGACATCTTCACCTGGTCGGCACTCGAACGGATATACGTACACCCGACGTAAGATCACATTCATGTTTGCGTGTAGTCCATACGTACAGGTTTCAGTAGGCCACGGCCTCCCCCACCAGGTCTTGAGTAGACCCGGACAGCTGCCCGCAGTGGTTCGTGCGTTCGTTGTTCGTAATATATTAGCGACGGGATCCGGGGACCACGCGTCTACGGGCCCGAAGACGAGCCCAGCGAGACCAACGTAGTTCGAAAGCTTCCACTACAGTCCGAGAGGGTCCCGAGACGGCTCAGGAGCGTCCCGAAGCGCGCCAAGATGGCTTGAATACAAATCAGGTGGCACCTAAGACGCCCCAGAACAGTTCCAAGATGCCCTCCAAGAGTCTCCAAGATGGCCCCAAGAGGCGAATCACGTACGCAGATTGTCTCCAGGTCATTGAAGGCTGTTTTGCGCTCCCACCCTGATACGCTTCTGACCACTCGAAACGGCCCAGAAGGCGCCCCCGATCGCGTCACGACGGGGTCTCCAAGTGGGCGCCAAGAAGGCCCAAACATATTCCAGACACCCCCCGTCACCGCACGGCCTCCGCACCGTTTAGGAACCCTCAAGTTGTTTGCGCGTCCTGCCTGTCGCGGCGGGTGCCATCTTCGTGCCCGGCGTGCGGGCTGCCTTCGGCGGAGACTGCTGTTGTGCCCTCCTCGGGCGCCCCTTGCAGCGCAGTGAGTCCCAACGACACTGCGAGCGTAGTCGTGCTGGCGCAGTGGTGGCGGCCAGGTTCGAGGATCGAGGTGTGCGGACCGAGGGGTTCGCGTAAGTTCTTGGGGGGTCCAGGGGGGGGTGCTCGTCGCCACGGCTGAATTCCCTTTGAAGTTTTGGTCAGAACTGCGCCTGCGCCCCCATTTGGGGCACCCGATCTTCAGACGTCCATGCGTAGCGGCAAAATTGCGTTTCGGGTTCTGCGGTTTCGGGCCCTGGAGCCATCACAAGACCCGCGGCGACGAAACGTGCGGCGCAAGGGCAGGGATCGAGAAGTCCAGGAGTTCGTTTCTGGAGGAAAAACAACGTTGGAGGTAACGGGGTGATGCACTGAGGCACAATTCGCAGAGCGATTGTGTGGGGGGTCGTCCTCGTGCGCTTGCTCCCCTCTCATGCGTCTCCCCTCCCGCATGCTAATCCTTCTCATGTTACCCCTCCCCCTCGCTTTGGCTGGCTGGCTGCCGCTCTGCCCTTGCATTTCACGTCCCCCTCGGCTCGCCTGCGCCGGGCCGCGTGAGCCTGACAGGCATGGTCACTTAAAGTGTGTGCTGAAGTGCGGTGTTGAGGCAATATGAAAATATGTTGTTTCGAGCGACCCCCTCCCAATAATGCGAAGCGGGATACCCAGGGAGCGCCAGCACACTTCAGGCTTGACGGACGCGATGTGTGAACCAGGTCCGGAGTATGTCTCTGTACATAGAACAGCCCCAAACTTGTTGTGTGGCGCTCCTCTCACGCCTTTCCCATCATCATCATCTCACCCTCCATGGCTCCTCTACGGCCGCTCTCCCGCGGGGCTGGCCCCAGGTTGGTCGAAAGACCCTGCTGTCCCCAGAGATCGTGCAGGACAGGCGGCCAACGCGTGACGCCCGACGCTCTGGCACACTTGGCATACGCAGTTTGTCTTTGGCTGTGCATGTTCCGATAGAGTTCTGCATCCAGGCACTTGCTGTTAGGCGCCCGCATGATCGATCACAGTTCGTGGACCTTCCTCAACTTGTGCCTCGTCCGTCCTTGTAGGGAAATGCCAGTAAAGGCATGCCGGCCGTTCTGCTCTTCGCGGTTGGCAGGTAGACGAGTGGCAGCACAAGAAAGTTCGGGATGTCCGCAGTCTGATGTCTTGAATTGTTGACGTTTCGCGTATCCCCAGCAGCCCGACCAGAAAGCATGCCCAGGGGAGTTGAGGTGATCAGGGAAGTGGGGGAGCTTCCAGAAGAAGAGAAGGCGGGGGAAGCCGTCATATACCCCAAGAGGGGGAGGATGGAGGAGGAATCGTCGTCGTCGTCGGAGGAGGAGGAGGAAGAGGAAGAGGAAGTGGAGGTGGAGTAGGGCGAGGACGAAGGACGAGGACGAGAAGGAGGAGGTGGAGGGAGAGTTGGGTACCTCGGGGATCCTCTTGAGGCCTCGTATGGGGTCTGTCTCTTGGGAGCCTCTTGGAGGCCTCTTGGGGCGGTCTGGGCGCCTCTTGGGACTCTCTTGGGGTGCTGAGGGAGCTTCAGGGGCGCTCTTGGGACCATCTTGGAGGACATCGATCAAAAAAGAGGGAGCTTCAATTAGCCTCCCCTCTAGGGAGCACCGGAAATCGCCTCCTGGAACCCTCCTGGAACGATGTTGGGGCGTTCTTGGGCACTATTGGGGCCATCTTGGGGCTCTCTTAGGCCTCTCCTGGGGCTTCCTTGGGCCCTGTTGGAGCCATCTTGAGGCAGGCCTCGGGTGGCCATTGGAAGCGAAAAGGCGAGAAAACAACAATCATTTTGTCTTTAATCGTTTAAGAATTTTGGCTTCTTGGGGGCCTGCTTGGAGGTCTCGGAGGCGTCTTGGAGCCGTCTTAGAGCCTTCCTGGGGCTTCTTGGAGCATATTGGGAGCCGACTTGAGGCATCTTAGGCTATTTTGAACTATCTTGGAGGTCATCTTGGGCTCTCTGAGGCTCTCTTGGAGCCATCTTGGGCGAAAAAGTATCCTCTGACACGTCGCGGGGTACCCCGTCCAGGTCAAGTTGAGGGGGTAGGGGGAAAGGTCAAGACGCCCTCCCCGCCCGCAAGCCGTCTCGCTCACTCCCACCCGCCCTCCCAACACATACGTAGCACCCGAGCCTGGCCCGAGCCGCAGCATATTCAGCAGTCGTCTTTGGATGGGCAGCTACTGGGGGCGAATCCGCCGCCGCCGCCTCCGCCGCCGCCGCCGCCGCTGCCCGCCGCCGCCGCCACCGCGCCGCCCGCCGCCGCCGCCGCCCCCGCTGCCGAAACGCCGCAGCCGCAGCCGCTGCCGCCGCAGCCGCTGCCGCCACCGCTGCCGCCGCCGCCACCGCCGCCGCCGGCCCCGCCGCCGACGCTGCCACCGCCGCCACAAAGTGCCCCCAGCGCAGCCGCCGCAGCCGCCGGCGCCAAGTGTATTCTGTTTTGTTTTTTGAAAGGGATGGTGGGGGGAGGCCGCATCAGGTTCGCTGCGCATGCTCCGAATTTGGAGGCAGAGTGTGTTTTTGTATTGTTTTTACAAGGGATGGTGGGGGGGCCCGCATGGTCTCGGGTTGGTTCCCAGTCGGCTGGGGGAGGGGGTGTCTATTAATAGGGAACAGTGATCAAGACACCCTCTCCGCACGCAAGCCGTCTAGCTCACTCCCACCCGCCCTCCCACTACATAAGTGGCATCCGAGAATCGGCATAGCCAGGGGTCGGCACAGGATGGACAGCCACTGGGAACCAAAGCGGACGCCAGGTGCGCGACGCTTGCCGCGGGCTCCACATGCGGTTGGTGTGCCATCCTTTAAAAAAACGTGATGCCCCCCCGTCCGCATTGTCCAGATGCTGATGTGGGGGGCGTCAGCATTGTTCTGGGCCTGCGCACAGCAATCATCATCATGCGGGCACCACCGCCCTCCCTATGAAAAACCAGACAAAGTGATCGCGGGTGGCCAGCACAATACCTACGACGTTGTCGCAACGTGTTTTTTGCATTGTTTCGACACGGATGGTGGTCCTTCACAAAGCGGCTTCACTAAGGGTGCCCCGCCATCCCTGTCTAAAAACAACAACGTGCTCACAGGGCGCCAGTGCACTGTCCAGAGTTTGCTGCAATGTGCACTTCGCACTGTTTTTGACAAGGATTGTGGAGGGTGTTGGCAGGGTGGGCCCCGAAATGTGCATTTGTATTGTTTTTTGACAGGGATCGTGGGGGGGGGGGGGGGGGGCGCATGGTTCCGGGTTGGCTGCCGGCCAGGTGGGGGAGGGGGTGTTTATTAATATGGAACAGTCATAAACCCCTCCCCGAAGGGGGGGAAGAAGGTGGTTGGAAGAAGAGCCTTCTTAGACCGCCTACGCCCAGAGGGCTGGCAGCATGAGAGAGTTCGGGGTGGCCACAGTCCGATGTCTTGAATTCTTCAATGCGGTCTCCACCGAAGTCCGCACCCCTTCCCCAGTGCCAACTTTTCACTCCGAGTTGTTATTGTACGGTCTGGGGGCCCAACGAGGGCCGCCCAGAGGCCGAAAACTTCGGAAAGCAACCGTCTTGATTTTTGTTCCCATGCGTTGGAAGTCTGGGGATGGAGGAGGACCGATTCTGCGCGGATCATGATCTTCGTGCGGAGGTCTGGGATCGGCATTGGACCCGCCTTCCCTGGCGTGCGGTGCGCGCCAGTTGCGATAGGAGGCGCCGGTAGGGAGATCCAGCCCCGATCTTAGAAATAAGCGCGGAGCTTCTAAGACCTAAGATGTTTATGCCGTTATGGGCTCATATAAGATCTGACGTTGGAGCGTCGTTGCCGCCAGGTTCCCGCGCAGCGCCCTCAGGAGCTGGAGTCGAGCCAGCCCGAGACGCTGAGCTGGCTCCAGAGCGCCAGCGGCCTGCTCCTGCAGGAGGGGGCGGGGGAGGGGGGCAGGGCTGCAGGAGGGGGGCGCGGCGGCCTCGCGGCGCGCCGCGGCAACGTCAGGTGCTGGGCGGGATGGTGTGGGTTGGGAGTCGTATCGAAGACGCGTGGGGCCGTCTTGAGCGGGAAGACCGGCGGACGACCTGGGAAGTTTATGGGTCCTTGCGGGGCGGAAGGGCCGATGGAGAACGAAGTGTATGCGGCCTTTTGGGTGGCCGGCGGGTTGGGCCGAAGGCCCATCGGGAAATTTCGAGACAAAATTTATCTCAAATTTGGCACGCCGGGCACCCCTGCGGCAAGCCAACAGAGGGCGACGGATCAAAGACGTCTACGGCGAATCACCGCATCCCCTCTGCTTTTTTGGGAGCACGTAGGTGACCGAACGATGTGGCCAGAGCTCGGCCAATCAGTCGGAATCTGTGTTCCGCAGCCGTTGTGGGAACAGTTAGGGGAGGATGAGGGAGAGCATCAGGAGAGGGCGGATGAGGAGGAGGAGGAGGAGGAGGAGGAGGATAAGGCCTATTTGGGGAATCTTGGTGCACTCTTGGGGCCTCTGGGAGCTTCTCGGGGGCCTCTTGGAGGCCTCTGGGGGCCACCTGGGAGCTCCCGTGCGATCTTGGATCTTGGCACGATCTTAGGAGCTTCTTGGGCCGCCATGGGCTGTCGGAAGGGCAAAAATAAGCAAATGCTAATTTTCTGTTTAACGCCTGAAGAAATCACATGATCTGTGGCTCTTCGTGCCTTCCAGGAGGACCTCGAATTGGAGACCTCTTGGATGATTCTGGAGCCGTCTTGGGTTATCTTGAGGCCATCTTGCGCCGTCTTAAATTCATCCTGTGCCGTCTTGGAGACATGTTGCGGCCATCTTGGGCTCTCTTAGGGCCATCTTGACGTTTTGGATGCCATCTTGGCCGTCTTGGAGGCAATATTGGGCCGTCATGGAGCCATCTGGAGCGGAACAAATCTTGTCGACGGGGTTTTCCGCGCGGCCGGCGCGATCGGTTGAGACCCCATTAAACCTAAAAAGTACGTACCAACAGCCCGCAACAGTTGCACGCCGCGGATCGAAGCCGCTTACGGCGAGTTACCGCCGCGCCTTGCGTTTTTTGGAGCACGTAGGTGGCCGAACGTTGTGGCCAGAGCTCGGCCCAGCTCGGCCTAGCTATCGGACTATGTGTTCCCCAGCCGTTGTGGAAATCCTTCGGGGAACACGTGGGGGGAGAAAGAAGAAGAGGAGGAGAGGGTTGGCAAAGGAGGAGGATTCCTCTTGGGAGCCTCCTGGGGCATTCGTCAGGCCTTTTTGTTGGAGCTTCTCGGGAGCCTCTTGGAAGCCTCTTGGGGGCCTCCTTGTTTGGGACTCGGGGGCCTTTGGAGGCTGCTGAGCTGTTTGGCAGTCTTAGGGCATTCCTGGCCCGTCTGACACCGTCGGAAGCCGTCGTGAGGGTCACCCTGGGCCGTCTTGGGGCCTTCTTAGGACGCTTCAGGGCCGTCTTGGAGGCCACCTTGGGTCGTCTTGGCGACCTCTGGGGCCGCCTGGGGGCCATCTCGGAGCTCTTGGGGTCATCATGGTGGCCTCGGGAGCCGTCTTAGACTGACGGGGAGCCGAAACAGAGCAAACGCCCAAATCCTTCTACAACCAAAGGGACATATGATGTTGGCCTCTTGGGCCTTCCTGGAGGTCTTCTTGGAGGCCTCCTGGGCCGTCTTGGAAGCATCTTGGGCCGTCTTGGGCGGTCTTGAGGCCATCTTGGTCCATCTTTGGGGCACCTCGGCCCGTCTGGGAGGCAACTTGGAGCCATCTTGGGCTCTCTTGGGGCCATCGTGGCCGTCTTGGAGACCATATTGGACGTCTTGGAGGCGACCCTGGCGCCGACTGGAGCGGAAAGACCGACGGACGACCTGGGAAGTTCATGGGTCTTTACTGTGAAAAGGCCGATGGAGAACGAAGTGTATGCGGCCTTCTGGGTGGCCGGCGGGTTGGGCCGAAGGCCCATCGGGAAATTTCGAGACAAAATTTATCTCAAATTTGGCACGCCGGGCACCCCTGCGGCAAGCCAACAGAGGGCGACGGATCAAAGACGTCTACGGCGAATCACCGCATCCCCTCTGCTTTTTTGGGAGCACGTAGGTGACCGAACGATGTGGCCAGAGCTCGGCCAATCAGTCAGAATCTGTGTTCTCCAGCTGTTGTGGAAACCCTTCGGGGAACACGTGGGGGGAGACAGAAGAAGAGGAGCAGAGGGAAGACAAAGCAGGAGGAGGCTTCCTGGGAGCCTCCTGGGGCACTCTTGGAGTCTCCTGGGAGCTTCCTGGAGGCCTCGTTGAGGCCTATTCGGGGCCTCCTTGGGCCTCTTGGGAGGCTTTGGGGCCTTCTTGGGTGCCCCTTTCGCCGTCTTAGGGCGTTCTTGGCCCGTCTGACGCCGTCGGAAGCCGTGGTGAGGGCCACTGGGCCATCTTGGGGCCTTCTTAGGAAACTTCAGGGCCGTCGTGGAGGCCATCTTGGGCGTCTTGGAGGCCTCTTGGGCAGTGGCCGTCTTGGGAAAGTCTTGGGGCCGTCTTGCGGGCCTCTTGGGCCGTCATATGGCCTCTTCGGTGACCTCTTGGACACTATGGGGGGCGATATTGCTGGCGTCCGTCTTGGGCCGTCGGACGCCGAACACAATCAATTGCCAAAACCTCCCAAAGCATAAGGAACAGCAATGATTCTGGCGTCTTCGGGCCTTCCTGGGCGACCTCTTTGAGTTCTCTTGGGCCGTCTTGGAGGCTTCTTGGGGGCTTCTCGGGCCATGTCGGGGCCATCTTGGGCCGTCTTGGAAACAGTTTGTTGCCATCTCGGGCGTGGGCCATCTCGGCCGTCTTGTAGGCCATCTTGACCGTCTTGGGGGCCATCTTGGAGGCGTCTTGGGGGCCTGTTGGGCTGTCATTCGCCCATCTTGGGGACCACCCGCGCGATCTTGGGGGCCTCGTGGGCCGTCTTGGAGCAAACGCCAACATAATTCAAGGGCCTTCTCGAGGACCTCCTGGAGGCCTCTCTGGGCCGTCTTGGAGGCCTCTTGAGGCCTCTTGGGCGAGGCCATCTTGGGCCGTCTTGAGTGCATCAGAGGCCGTCTTGGAAACACATTGGGAGCATCTTGACCTTTGTCGGGGTGTAGCTTGGCCGTCTTGGATGCTATCTTGGGTGTCTCGGAAGGCCTCTTGGGCAGTCTGTGGGCCCTTAGGGCAATTTGTTTGAGGCCCCTAGAGCCATATCGGAGGCCTCTTGGGCGATCTTGCGATGTTGGTGGCCTCTTGGGCCGTCTTGGGCCGTACATCCATCACCACTCCTGAGAACGATCAATGAAGTTTGTTTCTTAGGGCCTTTCTGGAGGATGTTTTGGATGCTTTTGGGTTTCATGGGGGGCTCCTGGGGGCCTCTTGAGCCGTCGCAGGCCATCTTGAGGTCATTTGCGGACGTCTTGGTTGTATCTCAGGCCGTCTTGGAGACATATCACGGCCATCGTGGGTGTTCTTGGGATAATCTTGGCCGTCTTGGAGGTCATGTTAAGCATCTTGAAGGCCATCATGTTGTGGCGGTCTTGGGAAGAAGCACCCACAGCCCAGCTATGTTCCCATTCCCTCTGGGCAGCCGGCGCCATCGGCCGAGACGCCACGGGAAATCGTTAAACAGGTTTCAACACACATGCACACAATCACACACGTAAAGTCCAGCACGACAGGCACCCCTTTGATGGGCGGCGGATCGAAGACGCCTACGGCGAATCACCGCCGCCCCCTGCCTTTCTTGGAAGCACCTATGTGCCCAAACGTTGTGGTCAGAGATCGGCCAAGCTATCGGACTGTGTACTTTCCCAGCCGTTGTGGCCCAAGGGAACACGTGCGGGAGAAAGAAAAGGAGGAGACCTCGTTGAGGCCTTTGGGAGCCTCCTTGGGCTTCTGGGGGGCCTTTGGGGGCTTCTTGGGGCCCCCTGCGGCTGTCTCAGGGCGTTCCTGGCCCGTCTGACGCCGTCGGAATCCGCCTTGGGGGCCACGCTGGGCAGTCTTGGAGCCATCTTGGGACTCCTCAGGGCCGCCTTGAAGGCCATCTTGGGCGCCTTGGAGGCCTCTCGGGTCGTGTTGGAGCCCTCTTCGGGCCGTCTTGCGGGCCTCCTGGGCCGTCATGAGGGGACCTTTGTAGAGGTTGTTTGGGTGCTCTGGGGGCGATCTTGAGGGCTCTTGGGCCGTCTTGGACAGTCTGAAGGCAGAAAACAAGCAAATGCCAGAATCCTCCAACACTAATAGAACATCAAAGGCTTGGGCCTCTTGAGGCAGTCCTGGGCGACCTCTCGGATGCCTTTTTGACAGTCCTGGAGGCCAGTGGGGGCCTCTTGGAGCCATATCGGGTCATCTTGGGTGCAATATGGATCGTCTGGGACACACTTTGCGGCCGTCGAAGCCCCTCTTTCTGTTTGGCAATCTTGGAGGCCATCTTGGCAGTCTATGGTCTTCGCTGGGCCGTCTTAGGGTCCTGTTGGACCGTCATGCGGCGATCTTGGGGCGATCCTGGGGGCCTCTTGGGCCGTTGGAAGGCCGAAAAGGAGCAAGAGCCAAATACTTTCAAACACCCAAGGACCATCTATGGCGTTGGCACCCTCGGGCCTTCCTGGAGGACCTCTTGGAGGCACCTTGGCCCGTCTTGGAGACCTCTTGGGGGCCTCTTGGGCCGTCGGAAGCCATCTTGAGGCCATTTTGGGCCGTCTTGGGTGTATATAGGGCCGCCTTGGAAACATATTTCGGCCAGTTTGGGCTCTCGTGGGTTTACCTTGACCGACTTGGAAGCCATGTTGGGCATCTTGGAGGCCTCGTTGGCAGTGTTTGTGAAATCATATGGCCGTCTCGGAGGCCTGTTGGGCCGTCATAGGACCATCTTGGAGACCTCTTTGGCAATGTGTTGGCGATGATGGTGGCCTCTTGGGCTCAAGGAGCAAGAGCCACAGTCTTTCAAAACCTAAG